TAATACATGTATATTATATGTATATGTATACATATATATTATATATACACATACATATATATCTATACATATAATATAAGTATATGTATATGTGTATTTCACATGTCTATGTATACATATATATTATGTATATATACATATACATATATGATCAACCCAACTCGTTCCAGTAGAGCAAAATCTGTTCGGCAAGAGAAACAAAGTCAGCGTGCTTCATAATCCTTTATTGGCACATTTTTATATATGAGCTTTGGGTCTTGCATCTTAACAACACACATGACACCATCCCACAAACCACAGTCTGTGAAATTTTTATATACGGAGCTTTGCTTTGAATCTTTCTACAACCACTAAACAATGCTCACATACAAGGGTGAATATATGCCAGTATACCAGACATCAGTATAAATCAGACAAGGAATGATCTGGAATCAACCTTAAATTTGGACATCATACCCTAAACTACGACTGATAAAACCTGCTTTGAAAAAAAAAGAAATAAAGAAAACAAAGACAAAAAAGAAAAAAAGAAAAAAAGAAATGAAAAAAAGAATAATGATGGATAAAAAAACAAACATAAACAAAAGGCATTCAGTTGGTAAGGCATTTTTAAGACCTAACCATATATAAAAAATCTGGATTCAAGGTGTTTTTTAAAATCTTTTATTAATATAATTTTTTTTATTCATTTTTTTTTTTTTTTATTATATTTTCCTCACTGTCGACTACTTGGGTGATTCATCTATTGGAGAGTTAACCACAAAATCACGGGTGCCATTATAGGATCGTGGGAAATAAGTAGGTGTAATACGACTAAGGGAACTTTTTATACATTTTATAATTTTTTTTTTAAATTAATAATCATTTTCTTCTTGTAGATGCCAGCCCTTTGGTTGCATATCCTTCGGGTTAATCAGGAGTGGCTGTACCAGTGGGGAAAAGAGTAAATTACACTGCATAAACCTTCAATAGCGGCCATGTTCCATTTGAAACATACAAATAAAACTATAAAATAAAACTTGATGTTCTGCTTACTCTTTGCCTGCTTCACGATAAAATGTCACGCCCCACCAGGAAAAAAAAAAAAATAATAATAATAACACATAAAAAAAATGTGCATGTCACACCCTTAACGCTTCTCTGTAACTATGAGCATCAAGCAAAACTAACGTCACATGCCCAATGTTCATACAATCAGGAAAGCTATATCATGAAAAACAAAAAACAAAAAAAAAACTCTCCTGTGCCATGCAAACTGCTCAAAAAAAAACAACAACAACAACATAAAAACGCTAAATTGTGGACATAATACTTCCGGTAAAAATTCAATCTCAGGTGAGAGTCGGCTTTAAAAGGAGACCTTGGCTACTGTGTCCTACATTGCAAAATGGAATAGTGTTTCTCTGCGTTACTGTGCCAGACCTCGGATGGAAGACGAGATTCCCCTGATTATTCGCAAAATCAAGTCTTCTATTAGTTTGCGGCATCGAGGGCCTTGATCTTCCTATGGTAAATGATATGTGACTAGTAACTACTAGAGAGAACTATCAAACTAATGATAATCATAATGAATGATAAAAACTACAAAATCAAAATCATATTAATGATGAAAGTACAGATGATCTAAAGAAAAAATAATAATGCTAATAAAAATACTATCATTTCAGCTATACCTACTACTACTACTACTACTACTAGTACTGGTACTATTACTGTCATCAATAAAATAGTAATAATAGTAATGGTTAAAACTAATTAATCATAATGATAGTTTACATAATGATAGAAATATATATAATGATATACAATAAAGCAATGGAAATAATAATGAATACAAAAATAAAATAGGAATAATGATACTAATGGAGATAATAATAATAATAATGACAATAAAAATATTGATCAATGAGGTAATGAAGATGATAATAATAGTAATGATGAGATAATAATAATAATAATCACAACAACATTAATAATAAGAATAGATATAATGCTAATGAGACTACAGATAACTATATATCACAAAAGCAAGTTCATAAAAGGAATGACAGCTGCAATAATCGGAAATATGCATCACAATAATAATAATAACTGTTATAAATAGAGGTGCGAGACCTATTTACACATTTTATGAGCACAACACATAATGTGTTTGGGTATTATCTTTCTCTGAGTACAATATGTCAGGTATCACTATTGAAAAAGATTTGGCAAAGAAAATGAGGAGAAAGTAAAAGCAGAGGGAAATGAAGGAAAAAAAATTTAGCTACACATATACTATGGAATTCATATGAAATAATTATACCAAATCTTGATGACTGCATTCACAAGCAACAGAAATCAATGAGCTTTGTGTCTAAAAAATAACAAAAATAATTTTTTTCCTCACTTATTTCATTTAGCAGATAAAAGCTCGCAAAAGGATTTTGTACTGATTACACAACCGTTTGACGTGCTGTGAGGCTGTGCAGCCTTGCAGAAAATGTGCTCTAAATACAGT